CTTGGTGTCATCTGCAAATTTGATGAGTTCCCCATTTATTCCCTCATCCAAATCATTGATGAAGATGTTGAAGAATACTGGGGCCAAAACAGAGCCTTGGGGTACTCAACCAGATCATTGAGCTGTTTCCCATTTATTATTATTAATTCACTCTATTCATTTGTATGTTGAATTTAAACAGTGACAAAATCATATGACTCATTGCAATTTATAGCCCCCCCCAATAAAATCAAAAGCAAGAAAAGACTCAAAAAACATAAACACAACATTTCTCTACGATGATTTTGTTTTTAAGAAGGGCACTTACAATTCCAATCTGACCCAGCTAACTATTTACAAGATAGAAAGGATGCACTATTTTATTATAGAGCTGTTGCTGAAGTCATGATTTATGACAATAAAAACAACAGCTGGGGTTGTTCAACAAACCAGAGTACATATCTTGATTTAGTGTAATATGTGAATAAACTCAGCTGTAACCAGCTCTTTTTGCACAGAGTACTAATAGCACAATAAAACGATGAGTTGCAAAAATTTAAATGACTACCAAAAGAGGATTTCTAAATTCCTGATGCTAGTGGTTACCTACACCTATAGGCACCAGATAAAGCCTAACTGTATAGACTAGAGCTGTCAACTCATGGCCCGTGACCCAGATGCGTCATGTGCTGGCCACAGCCACGCCCAGTTTAGGGGGGGAGTCCCAATACTTTCTGTAACAATGCCATGACGACACGAGTTTGACACCCGCTGGTATAGACTAGGTCCCATTTCTTTCTTTCTCCCATTCTTTGTTCTCATTTGGCACATATGCTTTAAAACTGGACATTAGGTGGGAATCTTTACTTGCAAGCAGCAGCTAATGTAGAGTCATACTGATAAATAAAGACCGAGATAATGTCTTCAGATACTACAATTTGCACTGATCAAATGGTCAATGCAAGTTATAACATTTAATTTAATGTTTCAGAATTAAAGTAGGATAATCTGGTGGTCCACTGTTAAGATAAATTATGTGCAAAGAGGAACTTCTACATAGTGGGAAAAGAACAGTGAAGACTGCTAAACACAGATAATAAAAATTGCAATTGCTAAAATGGTGGGATCATCATGACTTCACTCTACTCTTCTGTGCAAACCCAGAAAATTATTTAGAATTATTGAAATTCTCATCCTGGTATTTACTGTGATTCTTGTCAAAGGATTTCTACTGTTTCCCCCACCTCTTTTTAAAAATGTGTGTTTGATCTTTGGCTATTGAATCAAGCTAGTCTTCCTCACAACCTATACTATCAAGCCAATAGTCCAATAGCAGAATCTGATTTCTCCAATGTCTGGACCTTTATGTTTTAGTTACATAATAACTCAGTGGAACTGCATCTATCTTTAGCCAAGAGATGCATTGACTCATCACACGGGCATCCTGATCATGAACCATCTGGGAGTGTTTTAGTAAGTTTGTTCTTCCGCATGATGCACCATCCTGCTCTGTTTGTGGCACAAGGGAACTAACCAGTTAGGGAAGATTCAGGACAATAGAATTATTTGCTGTCTGGTATCAGTGGAAACTCACCACACAAACTTGGATTCCAGCCACTGGCAATAACACACTCAGTTTTCAGACGTCCAAGAATCATAATTAAGATGTGCTGAATCCATTAAATCTGAAATGTTATAGAGACACCATTGTCATTGGCATTTCAGTTAAGATTAACTCCAGCATAATTATAACATGGGTAAATAGCATTTCTACTAATCAAACTTCTGGTAAACTACTTTAAGTAAAACGCCAGCAAGATCTTTGGGGTTTAATGTTATAAAGATTCTTACTGTAGTCTTACACTCAATGCTAAATGCTCTGCTCATCCCCATGCAAATACATTATGAGTAGAACATGCAATTGAATAGGAAATATAATTGTTGTGCCATAGCCTAACCCTTTGGAAAGTATGGATTGCAAAAGTCTGAACCTAAGGCAGAAACATTTTAAAAATCCATTACTTTCTGTATGGAGGTAATACTACATTACCTTCCTAACCTAGGGTGATTGGAATGAAATTATTATTGTTGATAATAATGCTCTACATGGGGTTACCCTTTAAAAGCATTCAGAGACTACAGTTAGTCCAGAATGCAGCCGCGCGAGTGATATTGGGTGTACCGAGGTACACCCACATTACACCTGTCCTCTGCAAGCTGCACTGGCTACCAATTGGTCTCTGGATGCAATTCAAGGTGTTGGTTATTACCTTTAAAGCCCTACATGGCTTAGGACCAGCGTACCTGCGAGAACGCCTACTGCCACATACCTCCCAACGGCCGGTAAGATCCCACAGATTGGGCCTTCTTCTGATGCCGTCAGCCAGACAGTGTTGTCTGGCGGGCCCCCGGAGAAGAGCCTTCTCTGTGGCTGCTCCGACCCTTTGGAATCAGCTACCCCCAGAGGTCCGAACCTTGTCCACTCTCATGGCCTTCAGGAAAGCTGTTAAAACCTGGCTGTTCCGGCAGGCCTGGGGCTGTTGACCTTATTGTTAAGGTACAGCCCCAATTGAACGAATGTGTGTTATGAATTTTAAACTATCCTTTTTATTTTCCTTTCTTTTTTTCTTTCCTCTTTTGTAAGCTGCCCGGAGTCCTTCGGGATTGGGCAGCATATAAATTTAATTAATTAATTTAATAATAATAATAATAATAATAATAATAATAATAATAATAATAATGAATAAAAGTTAGTTCCCAATGTTACCATAACCAGCCTTGATTTTGCTAGTACTTCTATGTGATTATCAGTTGCATTTTACTGGAACTTCAGCACACAAATATTTTTTTTTCCAGGGTAAAACACAGGAGTTATGCTAGCAAAACAATCAGCATTCTTGTCACTATTAAAGTGAAAATGGGGAAAAGTGTGGCCCTTCAGATGTTGCACAATCCAGCCACACAACCATTGCTGAGAGAGAGGGGAGGCGACAAGGGATAACAACACCAGCTTCTACCCACCAACCCATCAATTTGAAATGTTCAAAGGTTAACATCTGGGAACACAGACATCATAATCACAATTGCAATATGCAAAGAAGCTTCCACTGCTGAACAGCGTGCACTTGCCAGAAGCTTTTCTTGTTGTTTTTTTTACACAACTATTAAAGTCTTTCCAAACAATCTTGTCCTGCTTTACAAAAGGTTGTCCTAATTTAAACTGGTTTAATTGTACTGATTCTCCCCAAAGTCTTTATAAGAACTGCACTTTAGTAAATGCACTGAGATTTTTGGAGAGTTTGACTCCAACAGAAAAATAAATTCTTGCTTGGAGGAAATCCAGCTTGTTCTCCTATTTATGTTGTTGAAGATTATTACAAGTAGAAAATCTTATGGCACCTTAAAAATTACCAAAGCATATAACTATGGAAATTTTAGCTTTGGTTTAACAAAGTCTATTTCATCAGATGCCTATAATCTCAGAACAGAACTACAAACATTAATGCTGATAAGATAGCAAAGAAGAGAAATAGATGACTTCTACAGAGTTATCACCTCTGTTCCAAAACTTTCAAAAATACTTTGAAGATGATCAGACTGACTTCTGTCAATTCAGAAATGCTGAGTAGAGATTTAGCAAGCCTGTTTCAATCTTCCACAGGTTTCACATCAAGACCAACAACAAAAGCCTAGATCCTTATTCCACATGCATGGAAAACTTATTTGTTTTTTCAATTAATTTTTACTGAAGATTTTTTTTCCAGACTAAAAACAATACAAATTTGAAGAAAAATGAAAATAAAAAGAAGGGTAAGTAAATAATAAAAAAGGAAAAAGTTGGACCAATGAAAGGAAAGACGAAGGAAATGGGAGAGATGACATTTAAATAATAAAAAAGGAAAAAGTTGGACCAATGAAAGGAAAGACGAAGGAAATGGGAGAGATGACATTTAAATAATAAAAAAGGAAAAAAACATAAAAATGAAGGAAAGTATGTATTAGGGTTGTTTGAACATTATGGTTGTATACAATGACCATCATCCATAGGAAAAGGAGCAATTCTTCCAATTTTTACATCTTCCAGGATCATTAGCACTACTATACCACATCTGTCCCAATGCCACAAAGAACACAAAAAATAGTATAATCTACAGACTTTGCCACAAAATGAAATGTCCAACAGTCAACCTGATTATTTACACGAAACGAATCACAATACAATAATGAAAAGTTCAAGGTTGTGAGTTCCTGCCTACAATTTCTCTCTCAAAATTTATATCGAATGTTTTAAAGGAACATTTAGTGGTTTTGCAGGCAGAGAAATATTAGAAATGAGTGACTAATCTGAAAACCAGTTGGTAAATCTGTGGCAAAGCACGTGAAAAAAATGCAAAGCAGATAACCCAGCATAAACGAGGCCAGAAATTGTACCATACAGGAAATCCGTGAAACAGAACTAATGCAATATAGGAAACACGAGGCTCTGAGTCATCTTGCTGTTTCCAGTATATGTCCAAAGAATTAAACATTTTTTAAATTTTTGTCCCCCCTCTCATCAGTGTATGTACACAGACAGATATTCATGCACATGACGTGTGAATTCAGTATTTTGCTTCGAAACCATGGTTAGTTAGCTTAGTGTCTACAGACTGAGCTTGCTGTAAAATGTTGCCAGAGGGATGACTTGTTTTGGATGTGACATTTTATTATTTATCTTTATTTAGTATATTTACTCTACAAACTGGCTATAAAATTGATTAAATCAATGTAAATTATAGTATGTTGAGTCTAACATAATAAACATAATAAATTGTTAAGGAATTTAGATGTAGGCTGTCACGCATAACTCAGGCAAACATCGCGAGGTGAATAGTGTTTTGAAACCACTCAAACTGCTGGTTAAAACAGCTGTGTCCATGGACAGGAGTATTAACAATGCCCCTGGATCCAGATGGAACCCAGTGGGAAGTTTGCAAGGGATCAGCAGTTTAAATGTGGAGGAACATCAGCAATGGAGCTAACAGCCTTCTGCTATTTTCATTCCTGCTTTCCTGGAATGGGAAGTATAGTACAGGATATAGTGACTTGTGCCATATTTTTTTTTCTTGATTGGACTTCTCTGACTCATTTTATTTAACTGGAAGGCTATTTTTGACCTGATTTGAAAACTACCCATGTATTACTTGATTTTTAGGATTTAGGATTTTAGGATTTTATTAGTATTTATAGGCCACCCTTTTCCCTGAGGGGACTCAGGGCGGCTTACATAAAATAAGG